TGGAGTCTATTTTTGTGTGTGGTGTAAGGAAATGGTCCAGTTTCATTCTTCTGCATGTGGCTGTCCAATTTTCCCAACACCATTTGTTGAAGAGAAGTAACATTTAATTTTATGTTTGTGAGAGTAAAAAAAGTTTAGGTAAAAAAATTAAGCTTTTTACTAATATAAAATTGAAAAAAATTGTTTCAGGGTTTTTTGACTGTTAGCATAAGCAGTAAAACTCTTTGTTTGACATGTCCCAATGAACATAGAATGTATGTACATGAAACAAATTATAATTGTGAATGTATATTAACTTGACAAGTGACCAAACTCTTGGATTCCTGCCCCACTCTTTCTACCTTGTTTGGTTGGCTCTGTGACCTTAAGCAAATAACTCCTGTGGGTATAAAATGATGGAACGAAACCCCTAAGGTCTTACCCACCTCTGAAGCTATTTGCTCCCATGACTTTGCTAACTAACTATGGAAATGTAGTTTGGCCCTAACTTGATGACATACATTGTAAAAGGGGGTTAATTGTTGCTTACCAATCAGATCTCTTACTTTTTGCTGTGACAGCTTTATTAGAGAACGAGAGAACTGATACATGATGCTCAATATAAGTTTCCTAAGGAATGGGACTTTGTTTACTCTTGTATCCATTGTCTACTGATCTTAGACATTCTTACTAATTATGCTATTGCCTAGAAGAGTACCCGACACACAGGAGGTATTCAATAGGTATTTGTAAAATAATTGGTACTGATTTTTTCCTTCCCATTTGGTCTGTTTCAGTGCCCCAGTACTGAAGAAAGTATATCCCTATGCCATATGTAACTTTTAAAAAAATTCTAAGATTGAAAACCGAAAATTTGCAACAACAACAAAAAAAAGAAAACCGAAAATTTTACGTGTATACTGACATTTAAATTGCTTCTGTCTAGGTTTTCTGTGTCTAGTGTGATAGATTTAAAAAGAAGTACAGGGGCGCCTGGCTGGCCCATTTGGTAGAGCCTACAGCTCTTGTTCTCAGGGTCATGAGTTCGAGCCCCATGTTGGGTGAAGACTTACTTTAAAAAAAGAAAAGGTACAACTAAAACAGTCTCTTGAATAATTAGGTGGTAGTCATTTCAAAACCACGAAGAAACTGGAAGTTTAACCATGTTATACTTTCTAGGGACATGTGCAAGTGTGTTTTGTTTTGAAAGCAACTTTGTTATTAGTGTATAAAAATGCAACTGATTTCTGGATATTAATTTTGTATCCTGCAACTTTACTGAAATCATGTTACCTCTAGGAACTTTTTGGTAGAGTCTTTAGGGTTTTCTATGTATTATGTCATCTGCAAACAGTGGCAGTTTTACTTCTTCCTACCAATTTGGACACCTTTTATTGCTGAATAAAAGTGGCAAGAGTGGACATCCTTGTCCTATTCCTGATCTTAGAGGGAACGCTCTGTTTTTCACCATTGGGTATGATGTTAGCTGTGGGTTTGTCACAGACAGCCTTTCTAATGTTGAGGTATGTTCCCACTAAACCCACTTTGTGGAGAATGTTTATCATGAAGAAATGTTGAATTTTCTCAAATGCTTTTTCTTTACCAATGAGGTAATAGGATTTTTATACTTAGTTTTGTTATTGAACCATCCTTGCATCCCCAGAATAAATCCCATTTGATTGTGGTGAATGATCCTTTTAATGTATTGTTGAATGTGGTTTCTTAATATTTTGTTGAGGATTTTTACATCTGTGTTCATCAGAAATATTGGCCTGTGGTTTTCTTATTTTGTGATGTCTTTGGTTTTGGTATCAGGGTAATGCTGGCTTCATAGAATGTGTTTGGAAGCTTTCCCTCCTATTTTGGGGGGGGATAGTTTGAAGTGAATGGGTATTACAGCTTTTCTTTCAGTGTTTGATAGAATTCACCTGTGAATCCATCTGTGGGGGCTTTTGATTACCAGTTCAGTTTTGTTACTAGCAATCAGTCTGTTCAGATTCTATTTGATTCCATTTTGGAAGACTGTCTCTAGGAATTTACTTCTAGATTGTCCAATTTGTTGGCATATAATTTTTCATAGTACTCTTTATAATCCTTTGTATTTCTCTGGCATTGGTTGTTACTTCTCATTTCTATTAAATTTGTGTCTTTTTTCTTGATGAGTCTCGCTAAAGATTAATTTTTTTTAGAAAACCAGCTCTTGGTTTCACTGATTCTTTTCTGTTGACTTTATTCCCTGTCATTTCTTCTGATCTTTATTATTTCCTTCTCTCTACTCCCCTCGGGCTTTGTTCTTTTATTTTCTAGTTCCTTTAGGTCTAAGGTTAGATTCAGATTTTTCTTGTTTCTTGAGGTAGGCCTGTATTGCTGTAGGTTTCCTTCCGAAAACTTCCTTTGCTATATCCCCAAGATATTGGACTATTGTGTTTTTATTTTCATTATCTTCACGTATTTTTTGTTTTCCTCTTTCATTTCTTTGTTGACCCATTGGTTTTTAGTAGCATGTTGTTTAGCCTCCACGTGTTTTTTTCCCCTTATAATTTCTAATTTTATACTGTTGTGGTCTGAAAAGACGCAGGATATGATTTCAATCCTCTTAAATTTACTGAGACTTGTTTTGTGGCCTATTATGTATATTGCCTATAATATAATTTTCACCATTGTTATGGTAATTTTGATAAAGTGTAGACTGTGTGGAATATGGAAGCAGCCAGTAACACTTTCCTATTTTAGGAAAATTTAATGCCTGTTTGTTTTTATTGAAAGATGCAGACAGTCTTTTTGAACATGAATTGGGGGCTCTCAACATGGCTGCATTACTACGAAAAGAAGAGCGAGCAAGTCTTCTTAGTAATCTTGGACCATGTTGTAAAGCGTTATGCTTCAGACGGGATTCAGCAATCCGGAAGCAGCTTGTTAAAAATGAGAAGGTACTGTTGTTCCCTTGAAAAAAAAATGCAAAGTGTATGCATTGTATGAATGTATGTATGAATTATATGAATGGCATTTTTTTTTTTATTTGATTG